ATCTGTTAAAAAGGTCAATTTGATGGCCAAATAAATAAACACGATTCGTATTTGTAGATTTAGGGACTACAAATTTTATGTCAATATTTAAACGTTAAAACGGTTTATTTGTGTTGGATTTCAGTCAACCCAATACAAACTGCCAAAATGTTGGATGTAAACTCAAAGGCAAACAATTAGCGGTGCACGTCATAGATTTAATGACGTCATAACTCAATGGTACAAACTTGACGGCAAACAAATTCAACAAATTTTTCCTCATATATAAGTTTTTTCGCTACCGTTAAGTTTTGCAGGAAAGCGCTGTTGCCAAATAAAAAACATATGTATTTACCACAGCAACTACCGGCTACATTGTTTCTCTTTGTCATTCAAGAGTGTGAAACAAAGATAACTATATGTACTGTAAGTGTCAAACCCATGTTGTCCTATAGAAGGTTATGTAAGATTTGTTTATAGTTGTGAAGTTGGTTAAAATATAAACCTATAAACTGTCTACAAAACAAATTCTGTTACTTTAGTTTCTCGATTTGATTTCGATTCAATTTTTTGGATATTTTAACTTAATTGTGTTAAAACAAAAATGCCGTCGCATTTGACCAGTCGTTGCAAGCAATCAATTGCAAATTTAATTGAATATTTTGAAAGGGAAAAGAAAAACGGTGGTCTATTATTACCACAAGAAGCAATTATAGAGGTATGTAGGTCTTATTATTTAAATATATTTAGAAAGTATTTTATTTAGAACAGATAATACAATTATGTATACTAAAAATACTGTTTTAGAGAGTTGCATCAGCGTTTAAGTTGAGTATTTCTACTGTCAGCAAAGTTTCTCAATCGGCAAAAGAGAATACACCTTTATGTTCTCCACCTAAGAAAAGACCGAGACCTGTAAAACCGATAACTAATTGCAATAATGCACCTCTAATTCGAAATGTAATTTACGAAATGTATGAAAAAAGTAAGTATATTTTAATATTTTATTGACACATGTAAGACTTTGTTGTCAATTATATTATAGACTATAGATTAAATTTTCTTTTAGAGCAACATATAACTGTTAAAACTCTTCATGCAGTTTTACAAGAGAGAGATCTATTTGAAGGTAGTGAATCATCTTTACGGAGAGTACTGCATAAAATTGGATTTAAGTGGCAGAAAGACAATCCAAGCCGGGGCCTTCTAGAACTTCCCGATATTGTTTGTAAAAGAATTCAATACTTAAAGGCATATAAACAACTAAGAGAGGAAGATATTTATCAGTTTGTGTTTTTAGACGAAACTTTAATTTTCCAAAATGGCTGAATCAAGACATTCTTGGCAAGATAATGATAAAAAAAGTTTGAAAACAACCAAAGTTGATGGTAAAAGATATATCTATTATTCTTCATGCTGGTAATGTAAATGGATTTATTCATGATGCTGAATTAATATTCAGTTCAAAAGATGCGACTTCAGACTACCATGGTGAGAAGAACGAAGAAAATTTTTTACACTGGTTTCAAACCAAATTCAAGCCCAAGATTCAGCAGTGGCTTATGGAACAAAAACTACCATTCGATGAAAAACTTTTAAAAGCAGAAATGTTGAATATTGTAAATTTAAATAAACCGCCAAAAATTTATAAAGTTGATCAGTTGGCTGAACATATGGGTCATAGAGTTCTACGTCTTCCTCCATATCACTGTATGTTTAATCCCATTGAACATATTTGGGGAATATCAAAAAATTATTATAATCTACATAGGTAGGGACGTAACAACAAAAAATGACTGTTTGGCTATGTGGAAAGAAGCATTATTAACTATTACTCCTGAAATATGGTCAAACACTATTCAACATGTGGAGACAAAATCATTTATGACTCTTGGGAAAGAGAGGTACGTTTTGATAGGGATGACATTGCACCTGTGGTTATTAATTTTAATGAAGACGGCGAAAACAGTGACACTGATAAAGACTTTAATTTTGATCAGTAAAAATAAGTATTTTTATTTCCAATAATTTTATTTAAATATAAAAGTGAAAATCCCAGTGGTTGGCTGTATACCATAGTTATAAAAAACTTAAGTACAATGAAGTAAAAACTTAGAATTTGTTCAACCATTGAACAAACTACGGATATAATTCTTATCTATCTAGGTCTGCTAGGTTTGCAAATCAGTATACAGACAGGTTAGATTGCTTTGAAAAGCAAAGTATTTTAAAGTGCAATTAATATCTTGCACTTGATTCTTTGATGCTACTAGCTGTGTAATTTAGTTTAATCAATTTTAAATTGTGACCTGGTTTTTATTTTGTATTGTTTCTTTCTTTTGTTGGTTTTAAATATTGTCTTTGTTAGTTTTAAATTTCATGACATGTAATAAATTAGGGTTTAAAAATTTTATATTTTAGTATTATAATATTGCAATATTGCATTTAAATTGGGCAACTGCTCGTTGACAAATAAATAAATAAGTTATAAATGCAAAATCTTGGAAAACAGAAGATCTTGTTAATTATCTGACAGGGTAAATAAATATATGAAAAAATACCTTTAAGAATATTCTTTTCTAGATATTACTTTCAGAATGAAAGAAGAATCAAAAGTATTAGGCTCGCTGTATGGAGTTTGGAAATAAATATGATATAATAACTTAAAACATTTAGTAGAAACATTACTTGAAAAAACAGATAAGTAAAAAAATCTGAAAGGTTTTATTCACATTCTACTTGCCCATAGATATTCCTATAATAAATTTTGTTGAATGTGTAGAGTATATGCCATATATGTAATGCAAAATACATGTACTGTAATATATATTTGTATTGTCATCATGTTGTTTGTAATATTTTGTAAATATACATATAAAACATAACTGTGAATTTCATTTCTAAGCATAGTTGTAAAACATATGTTTATGTAATATTAATCAAAAAAAGGGAGAAGAGGTCATAATGCAACATTTCATGTTGCTTCCATAGTTTCAATATTACTGTTTTTATGTTCACACATTGTCAACTTAAGAACACACCACAAACTAGGAGAAAAACTGCTTAAGAAATAAATGTCTAAAATATAATTTGAAAATAATATTTTCACATATTTAAGCTCCACAATAAAAAGATTATTTTAGATCCATAGAAATATCAGTGTATCATAAAATTTCAGGCCAATGTTTTTTAAATGCATTCATTTTTTTCGAATTCTGAAAAAACTAATAAATATTTTTCAAAAATTTGAAAATAGAACGAAAGATTATTAACGATGGCCGAAAGTCCCTTAGAATCAACAAAAAGTTTCTTTTGAATGAGATATTTGTAATTAAAAATCACACTAAATTTTATCTTTCTTTTTTTCACCACTGTAACTTTTTAAATTAAACATTATAGAAGTTTTCAAGGGATTTCGGCCCTCGGTAATAATGTAGTCCTTCATTCTGTGTTAAAATTTCTCAAAAATACTTATTAGTTTTCTCAGGATTCGAAAAAAATTAATGCATTTAAAAAGCATTGGCCCGAAATTTTGCGCCCTCTATAATCTTAACCTAAAAATTTTTCTTATTCTTTTTTGATTCCAATATTATGACAGACGTCAGGTAGAATTTACGATTCTCACTTCATCTAATAATGACGTCATATAAACTCGTCACTAGTTCTAGCCAATGAAATGCTCGGTGTAATAGGAGTGATATGTCAAGAAAATCTGATTATTCCCTATCTATTTGTTCAAATTTAAAATATGGCAACAAGGGGAAAATTGTGTACAATTTTTATTGTTTGACTTTGACTATACTATACTAATTCTTTGATGTTTTGTAATGACTTTTGTTAATCTTTATCACCCACTTCTTGGTAAATATGAAAGTAGTATTTACACATTAAAAGGAAAATTAAAGGAAAAAAAATCGGAAAATTAAAAAATGTTAATTCACAAATTGTGAATTCACCGTTTGAACTTAATGAATTATTAAAATTCACTAAAGGTCGATTATTATAACAAAAAAGTCGATTTTTTTCTTTTTTTATGGTTTGGACCATTAGTTATATTGGTTATATAGCCCGTCAGATACACGGTGGCCGGACATTATCAAGAAGTTGCAACAAAAAATGTGTGGACTTCGAGGTTTAGGACGCCAATGTAATAAAAGTGTATATGTGTAAAGTAACACAAGTATTTGGGGTAATGTAAAAGACAACATATAATTTAAAGCTGGCTGGCAGAAGGTGCCGGAGAGTGACTAATTGACACTCAAAAGATAATTTATATTAAAACGGGAGGCAAATGTTTGCGGTATTTTAAATTATTTAAGTGAAGAATCACTCCCACATTTTTAATGGCGATGGGGTCAAATAAAATATCGTTATAAAGCCCTTGCAATTTTCTATAAATTTATTTTTAAATTCGATCCAATACTTATAAAAAAAAATCATATACAATTAATATTTTAGCTGGTGGTACTTATTTTTTAGTCAAAAAAATAATGTTGAAAACTGTTGACCTCCTGCATCCCTAAAATGATAAAGGCGGTATAAAATTTAAAATTCCCGAAAACAGGTCGATTTTTGATTTTTATTTACTATTTTTTTAAATTATAATCTAATATACAGGTTGAACCACCTTCGAATGATGACGTTATCACCATTTTTTTTTAATGGAACCCACATTTTATTTAATTTACAGATTTCCTTTGCAAAGCTGATTCCAAAAATACATAACGCTTATTAGTAATCCAAACCTCTGAGCTATAAAGATATTTTTAATTTTTTACAGTATTTTTTAATAATTTTTTCATTTGACTTTTAAAACTGTCAGAAATATTAAAGTACAATATTGTTTAGCCTTTACAAAAGGTACATTTACGTGTAAACTAATCAAGCAATTTATGATTTGCAACTTTTTTTAACAAAATGCATTTAACCGAAAGTGAAGGGATTAAAATGACAGCGTTATGCATCACTAATTAATCCTGTTAAATTTTCGTTTTACAAATAATTTTTTTTTTATTTTTTAGTGCCGATCCCCAATTCCAGTCGTCAGTAATTAATACCAATGTTATAGTGTCAAATACAGGAGAAGTCGTTTGGTTGAGCCATGGGATTTACAGATCTTCCTGTGATATAAATGTAGAATATTTTCCATTCGATTTACAAAGCTGCCAAATGAAATGGGCCTCTTGGACTTATGATGGATATCAAGTGAGTAGAATGGTACAATAGATTTTATTTTACATGATATGCATTATATTCTTTACGTTACTTTTAAATATCTACAATTTTAGATTAAAATATAAGCTTACGAATATAATACCTGTAATAGTATGTAATAATACTAGTACATCAGTACAAACTGGTACATCTTCCAAAGCATTAATAGGCTCCAAACTTTTATATAAATTTTAGTCATTAGTGCAAAGAACTTTTTTTTTAAGTGGATTTTTATAAAATTTCGAAAAACATATTATAATGGCATTAAGTTAAAGTAAAGAAAGAGTTTCTACCCTTCATATGACCATGTGGTATTCAAAATAGAACTTGTAAAAAAATTAACGGTCTGTGTTTTTAATGAAAAGATCTAAATCAAGCACTGCACAGTTAGAGCACACGTACGTGCCAAACTAGTAGATCAATTCCCAGTACACCTTATTTTCCCATAAGATGTTTTATTAATGAAATGATCATATCTGTCTGAAGCACTTGCGAGATTGGTATGGTGTTGATACAAGCATGCTATTTAGGGTGGCAGTGAATAAAATTAAGATAGCTATGATGGTAACCAACGTTCTGAAAGGACATGGTACACGAAGAAGAAAAAATTCTTTAAAGGCACCTCAAAAATAAATTAAAATACACTCCTTGAATGCATATTGGATATTTACTTCGAGAAAATTAAGAAAGAAATTGAAAACTCTCCTTATGTTGCAGTGATTACCAATGAAACGACAGACGTTGCTAGTGAAGTTCAATTAGTTATAGTTTTCCACTTTTTGTGTAACGAACGACCAATTAAAGATTTTGGAGATTTTTGGTGCTGGACGGACATGATGCTAAGTCCATCGCTGAATGCATTTTAAATGTTTTAAATTCCTTACAAAAACTTGTGCTACTTGTACTTGTACTCGTACTGGATAATGATGAACCAATAAAAAAAGTTGTGAATTGAATAATGCATGCCCAGCAGAAAACGAGGAGCCTTAGAGATATGCGATGCAGTTTTGTTACAAATAAAAACAAGGTTAACCTTCTCCGGACATTTAGTTGCTTCTAATTTATTTATATCAGAGAAGTTTTCTGTTTATCAGCATCAGTTCCCCGAATCATTTCTTAATGAAACATGCAGACAATTTTTATTTTTAAACAAAACTCGGATTAAAACTGAATTACAAGTACAACTGTATCAGCGAGACGAATTAGGTACTACCTCTGGGGCTATTCCGCTATCAGTTCTATTAAATGATGAAGGTTTAAAATGTACATTTGAAGAAACTATTTAACTTTTAAGTATATTAATTAATATTCCTATGTCAACATCTGAAGCATAACGTTGTTTTTCGATACTAAAACGGATTAAAACATTCCTTAGAAATACTATGAAGGAATAACGACTTAGTGCTTACGGTATGCTGTCTTGAGAAACAAGATTACCAAAAACATTTTGTAAATGGCATTGATGATTTTAATAATAAAGTGATTGAAAACTTGCGACAACCAAAAAAGAAAGACGGTTGGACTTTATCTATCGGAAACTTTAAAAATGATATCAAACAACTTTGTGCGTGTCTGTAAATACTAGAATAGTGGTATTTTTATAATTTTGTAAATAGACTTTAAAAAATAAATCGTAATAACAAACTTCAAGTATATCAGCAGTAAATAATGGTGGTAAGTTGAGTTTTTTTTATTATTTTTTTAATTCTTTTAATTTCTATTTTATACCTTTTTGGACAATATCATGAACTCGCCACTAAAAAGTTAGGTAGTTGCCCGAATTCTGCCACTACCTTCTTAAAGTGATACGAGCCGCCACTGATCATCAGAAGTAGTTATTTGGGTACCTATCGACATTGATTATAAATCACTACCAGTAGTGGTTTATAATCAATGCTATCGATAAATTATCAAGAGCTTTGAAAACGCTAAATTTAGAAATGTGTTCTTTTATTCTAGGTCTCCACAAGTCATTATAAATTTTCCTATTTATTTTCGAGCAATGTATTAAAAATTATGTTTATACTGCTATAGTTGCAGACAATATTTTTGCCGTTTTTTCTGTATTTTGAATAAGCTTGTTGCTCTGTTCACTTTACCTAGTTTAGAGACGATTGTGTATTATTTCTCAAGGAATAGTACATTGTTTACCGGGTAGGAAAAGCTTAACATTCCTGGACGACTGTGAAGATTGCTAAGTCGAGGCGCAAGCCGAGACTTAGCAACACAGAGTCCACGAATGTGGCTTTTCCTACGAGGTAAACATACTATTTTTCCGCAAATCGTTTAAAATTCGACAGATATTGATTGATTTAAAAAAAAACGCGATAATTTTATTCCCAAATAAATGGTGCTTTGAAATTCCTAATAAAATTACTTGGTTACTATGGAAACGTATTGAGGTTGAATTGTCAAACTTGACGCTTATAAATTTAATTGCTGGTGTTCTCGAAAGTAAAATGATAAGTGATGATGAAATTTCCATTCCTGGGACTCCTCCAGAGCTGGTTGAGGCAGTGAATACTGCTTCATTAGAATTATTGCCAAAGAAATCAAGAGAAAAGTACGAAAATGCATACAGACGTTTTATGGATTATCGCATGAGTAAAAATGTGTTTTCTATCCTTTATGTAGAACACTAACAACTGTACGGAAATATCATTTCCTTACAGTAAGGAAGTCCTGACTTTTTCTTCAAGAAATTTTGACAGGTATGTCAAAATTTCCTGGCGATTTGCGCAAAAAATTATTTTCGTTTTGTACATTACCCATAGCGAAAATTTTAATTTTTTTCACGTTTTGTTGTATTTATCACTCAACTACCTAAAATTTGATAATTAAGTAGATTGTGCGGTTTTGTGTCTTCACTTCGCGAAAATATACCATTCAAATTAAATTGAAGCGAAGGCACGGATACGGCAAGCAATGATCATGATCCCAAAATAAATTAAGTATAGAACACACAGGAGAAAACTAATTCCTACAACCCTCCCCCATTCAATCTAATATTCCAAGGCGCTTTATAATTTTGGTAATTCTCGAGATTGTCATATTATCGGATTACTACTAATTCAAGTTTCCTAACTTTCATCATGTAGCACGTTTTCTTTTGTCTTTAAACATCCTCTATTATTAGGTTCTTTTTTAACGTTATCCTGTGCGGTGCGGCGGTGTTTACGAGCACTAGAGCTTTGTTCTAGGAAGTCACAAATTGCGAGGCTGAACTCAAGAGCGGCTCCTAATAAATATTCGCGAGGAAGCACGAGCTATTATACCATATTAACTTTTTTAACCGAGGTTATTTAAATCATTAATAATATCACTGCATTTTTAGTTCTTTTTTAATAACAATTTAATTTATATTTAACATTTTTTTACAAATAAAAATTAGAGTATATTTCACACATTTTGGTTTTAGTATAGCAAATTTTAAAAATATATCTTGACTTTCAAAATCCTACGCTTTTCTTCAATTCCTTACATTCTTTTGTCTTTTTTTATGTTTTACTTTTTTCTCATATCCACCTAGTCTCCTTAATGCAAACAATTATTCATACTAATGAAATCGTAGGCTTCCACGGCCAGAGTCAGAATTATAGTTTATTCGTCTTTCGGGTTTGGACCGTGTCATTTGTGAGTGACCCAAAAGTGGGTTCATCTCGACGTTTCGCTACAATTGTATGTAGCTTCTTCAGGAGAACAAAGAAAAAGAAAAAGAAGACAGGAAGATGGGTAGTTAGCAACGGTAACTCAGTTACTCAACGCAACCAGAGGCGAATACTAACTACCAAGATGGGCCAGAGGTGAAAACCAAATGCCAGGACAGGGATTCACATCCAACAGCTCAGAACACTAACGCGTCGAGAGGCGGGGAGTGAATCCGACGATTACTCCGCTACCTGTCGTGTCGGGACGTATCGGCACATTCCGTGGCGCGAACGTCAAGAAGCGCGCGCTGGCCAATCATGTGGCTGCATCGTGATAGCGGGACCGGACGGCGGCTCTAGACTGAGATTCCAAATGGAAGACAAGGAGTATCCTTCCTCTCGATTGATATTATGTGGATTTTTTCGGATCTCTAGATATTCGCGGATTTTTCTGGAATAAAAGAAGGGGCTCTTAGAAATAATATGGGTTTTTTCGAACAATATGGAATGACCGGTTTCTTGGCAGTGTTCTGCAACTGCAGAATGGGAGAAAAGACCTGGTCGAATGCATCTTTGATGCTCTTGAATCCGAGTTTTGACGGAACGACCAGTTTCGCCAATATACACGTGTCCACATGAACAAGGAATAGAATAGACACCACAGGAAGATAGGAGCGGTAATGGGTCCTTAGCAGAGGGTAGATATTGTGAGATTTTCTTGGGTGGTCGCAATGGAAGTAGAAAATAATCGGTCCCTTCTCTTTCTCGATGTGTTAGTCACCTCCAAGCCCAATGGCCGATTGGGTCACTCTGTTTATAGAAAAAAGACTCACACGAATCGTTACCTACATGCTTCATCACACCACCATCCGGCCCAAAAGAATTCTGTGATCAACTCTCTCATCCATCGGGCCATTTCGATTTCTGAACCTGACAACCTTAGAGAAGAACTTGGCCATCTGCAAAAAACCCTTGTCGCCAACGGTTACTCCAAGTCCACAATTTAAAATATGACACACCGACATCTACATCCCCCTTTACACCCTAGGACGACAAATTCAGAATCTTCGGGTAATACTCCTGTGGCTTTTCTTCCGTATATTCGAAGTGTCACTGATAGGATTGGCAAAATCCTTCGCAAAGAAGGTATCAGGACTACTTTTCGACCACCCAAGAAAATCTTACAATATCTACCCTCTCCTAAGGACTTATTACCGCCCCTATCTTCCTGTGGTGTCTATTCTATTCCTTGTTCATGTGGACATGTGTATATTGGCGAAACTGGTCGTTCCGTCAAAACTCTGATTCTGCAGTTGCAGAACACTGCCAAGAAACCGGTCATTC